AAGGCCCACAACAAAATCCATCGTGACATGTTTCCACTTTCATTCGGCTATAGGCAAGGGTTGCAACAAACTCGCTAGCCTCTGATGCTCGGCCTTCACTTCCTGACAAGTAAGGCATTTCGACACAAACACAGCTACATCCTTCTTCATACCCTTTCACCAAAACTGGTGACTCAGGTCGTGATACATCTTTGTGCCTCCTAGATGAACCACAAGGCGAAAATAGTGAAAATCTCGGAGTACTTCCTCTCAGCAAGACTCCGGCATGAATAAACGGTCACGGTATCTGACACTATTGTCGGGATACACAGTTAAGCCTCTTTCTACCTTTTCATTGGAAACCTTCCCTCGGAGGAATTCTACCTTAAGGTCACCCCTCTACACTTCTCACACTTGGTTTACGAGTGTGGGTGTGACATCCCTGTTCTGTATTATGCTAAATTGGTCCTAAATCTGTTTATGGTTATGTGTTTAGCATGATTTTGTGTGCCATTATGTGATTTTGAATTCGTATTTGTTCATCGTAGGAATATCTGTTTGAATAACCTGCTTTGGAAATTAAATTGAGGGCCTTATCGGCCACAGAACCCGAAATTGATTACGCCATTGTGATTGGCATAATTTTTAGAGCCTACGATGAAGTTTAATTGAAAAATTGATTTGGACCAAATTAAGTCGATTAAGTTGGTAAAATGAGTGCCCAATTACTCTATATTATTATTATATTGTGACTTAGTGAGGCTCTATACACTCAACCCCTCTTTGTTATTCCTCTTGGCTGACTTAAACGCAAGGAAGAGAGGAGGGAGTCGGCTAGAGAGAGGGAAAAGAGGAGAGTTTGGTGTTTGGCTCAAATTTGTGAAGAATTGGAGGATTAAACTCCAGAAATTACTATAGTTTGGAAGATTGAGCCTCTAAGTAAGCATTTGGTCTTGAATGCATAAGTTTGAAATTGTGATCTTGTAAGTTCAAGGGTTGTTGTGATCAAGAGCATGTAATAAGTTGATTTTTGTTGAGTTTGGAGTCTTAGAACTCATGCATGTAAGAAATTGCTTTGAATTTGCATGTTTGAGCTTGAAACACATGATTCATGTAGAGTTTTGGTTGAAACTCATGGTTGGGTCACCATCTGTACCATCTAAGTTGAGAATGATGAGTATCTCCCACATGCATGTACAAATCATGGGAGTGTAAGTCTTGAATGTTTGAAATTGAGCATGTTAATGATGGGTTTGAGATATTTTGGGACATGCATGTAGATAAATCAAGAAATTGAGCTTCCTGATGTTGTAATCTTGTATTAGTAGCATGTTAGCATGTATAAATGTGTAATTTGGGCCATAACATGCATGAATTGTTGGTTGAAAGTCGAAATGAAGCTCAGGAACACAGTTCTGGGTTTTCCAAAATTTTGAGGTCTGCTCGAGCGGGGAACCTGACGCTCGAGCGGGAAATGCG